TCCTCCTCCTCCTCCTCGCCCTCCTCGTCATCATCGTCATCATCATCATCATCGTCATCGTCATCGTCATCGTCATCATCCTCATCCTCATCCTCATATTCATCCTCCGCTTCCTTCTCATTTGCATCCTCATCCTCATCCTGCTCCCTCTAATCATCATTCTCCTCCTCCTCCTCCTCCCCCATCGTGACGACACAGACACACACGCTCGCCACTTCTCCTCCCCATCCCTGTCTGCTGGCCACGAAGCCGCCTGCCCACATCGTGGGCGCAAGTGGCTGGTGAGCGACTGTGGCTGTGAAGCCGTTGGGATCAGGTGGATTTTTTCTCATGGCCAGAAGCTGACCCCCCTTCTTCTGCCCGGGCCCGCCCGAGCAAGCCGGGGCCATGTACTAGGAGCCGCCTTCTGCCCGAGCCAGCCCAACCGACTAAGAAACGACAGCAGTTTACATATGTTCTCAACCAAGCGTTATGTGGCCAGCTTGTGAAGAAATGGCGCGACCGTTTGCCGATGCACCCCGACCGACCTAACTTGGGAACCTGGCTGGACTGGTCCACTGAGAAAGAGGGGGCAGGGTGCGCTGTTTGTTATGCGAATAAAGAAGCTGGAGCTTGGGCAAACTATCGGGTTTGTTCGCGCAGCTCCCTCCAGATCAGCCATGCGCTCGCACATGCATCCACTGAAGGGCATGAGCGAGCAACTCAGATCTTCCTTGGCCTTCCCGTTGAGAAGAAAATCGACGCCCCGTCGGAGGAGCATTTCAACGCCGTCCTGGATGATCGGAAACGTGGTGTGAGCGTCAGCCAGGTGACAAATTATTACAGAACCACGTTCCCCCCCACACACACACACACACACACACACACACACACACTCAAACATAATCGAACGCAAGCCCAGCGCCACGAAAGTTTCGGATTTTTGGAGGGGGGGCATTCGGCAGGGGACGTAGGGCTAACTTGAGTGGTTGGGCGAAGAATCAAAGGCCCCTTTGGGGCCGACATCACTAAGATGGGATGTGTTTTAGCTGCGATCTTAAAAAAGAAACGCCACGCAGGGCAACCCAGCGGTGGCCGCGGGGAAGAAGGTTGCCAAGATGGTTTGGTGCTTAGCCGAAGGGCTCCGAGATATCGACAGGGGGGCGCTCTCCAAATGTTCGACGATTATTCTCAAGCAGGATGAACGGAAGGGTTTTGCCCTCCAGCGTTTCTGTTCCAGCAACGGCCTTATGGAGAGACGCGCTGGAATCACCCACGCTTCTCGCCCAGATACAGGGTCCTCGGCAATCCGGGGCGCTGTCCACCTACACTTGAAGCGGGCTTGCACCAGACGGCTGGGCCCTCCTGGCAAGGTGAAAAAAGTTTCTAAGGAGGCGGTGGGTGTCCTGGATCACGAGTTGTTGAGCCGTTGCTGCAAATTTGTCATTTTCTATTGTCCTGGCGGGGCATCTGATGAACAGCGAGCTGGACGACTACTCTATTGCAAAACAAATCTGGTCCACCGCCTCAATGGGATTTTCATCAACATGAAAGGTGTCCTTCGAGACCCCGCCCACGCAAGCACCCGGGTCACTAAGCGCCCATGGTCCGCCACAGAAGCGTTGTTAGACGTTTTCCAGAACATGATTCAGAAGAAAGGGTCTTTTGTGAATTTGGTCAAAAACAGCCCCGACTTCCAGAGTAAATTCAATGGGTGGGTAAAGAGGTGCAAGGAGTCCCCGATCAGCGGCCCTCGTATTCGGAATTTGTCATATTGAAGACGCCGACGGCGAATCACCGCCGCCCCCTGCCTTCTTTTTGGAAGCGCCTATGTAGCCGAAAGTTGGCTGGTGCCAAGCTATCCGACCACGTGTTCCCCCAAGTTGGTTTGGCAAGCCTTTCGGGCAACAAGTGGGGGGTAATAAACACGAAGAGGAATTGGATTTGGCCTCGTTCACCGTTCTTGGGGGTTTCCATGGGCCGTCTTGAAACCATCTGGAGCAGTTGCAACCACCTGGGCAAGCCTTCTGGGTGGCCTTGGGGGCCTCTCTGAACCGAATTTGGCCCCCTCGGAGCGCCCCGGGGCCGTCTTGGAGGCCATCTCGGGCGTCTCGGTAGCCTCTCGGACTGTATTGGGCGGGCCCTCTTGGGACCTTTTTGGGAGCCACCTCTCGGGCACCTCTTGGGACATCTTGGGCACCTCTTGGGCCATCTTGGGCTCTATCGGGTCATCTTGGCGGTCTTGAATGCATCTTGGGACCGTCTTAGAGGCCAGAGACAAGAGGCATCGTGGGGCCGTCTTGGAATCATTGGGACCGTCTTGGATCCTGTATTCAAGAATACAGAAACCAAAGAGTTCTAGCCTCTGGAGGAAACTCCACTTCAAACCGGAGGCACGGTGGCGGATTCGAAGCAGCGCTTCAACAGCACTCAGAAGCCAATCGGCTCCGATGGGTAAAAACAAATAAATGCACACCCGGTCTCAACCAGCCCCCATGCCTCTCCTTCCCCCCCTGGCCCCCCTTGCGTTAAACGCGCTGCCGGGGGCGGGGGATGGAGGCGGGGGCAGGCGCAGCGTGGGTTTGCATTTTGTTGGCCCCCATGGGGTCTCAGGCTTCACCGTTCTGCTCTTCGAAGCAGTTCTGACGTGCGCAATCGAGATAGCTGAGAACCGGGCAGGGAAGCCAGAGGCCGCTAGCGCAACTACGTTCTTGGAGTATATTACAGTGGAGCGTCTTATGTTGTTTGCAATGCTTGGAGATGCAGGTGATGAGGCCTACCAGCTAACGGTTTCAGTGGAATCAGAAGACTTCGACATTGCGAACGTGGGTTCGTTCATCAGCTCTTTCGTGGCCGCCCTTGACACCCTTTTTCAACCAGAGAAATGCTACCATGTGTGGGTATACACAATTCATGAAGAATTTCCCCCAGACGCCCCGGACATTTGTGGTTCGGGGGGTACCCAAGACACTGGGGGGAGCCGGTTGCGTGAACGACTTGATTCTGGACAATTGTTATCGCCACATGCAGACATTCGTCAAATTGGCTGTGGCGAGCCTGGGCGCTGAATTCCCCATGTGGGGCGTCATGCAATCTTTTTCTGTGTTTGATTTGAACCAGAAGCTTGATGATATGTGCCCAGCGTGGACGGCATTCTTAACGCTTCGCGTAGGGGGTTGTGGGGGGTTCTCTGAGGTCTCTTCTTGGAACCATCTTCGGGCTCGCTCTCTTGGAGTCCTCATGGGGCTTTCTTGGGGCCTCTTGGATTAGGTTCTTTTGAGGACCTCTTTGGGCCCTGTGGGCGAGTCTGAGAAATTTCTCGGGGTGATCTTGGACCCGGTGGAAAAGACGGAGGTGCATCCTCCCCCCCCATCGGTGGTTCACGACGGGCGTCTTGGAACCCTCCTCACGGGGCGCCCCCGAGCGCTCTTGCGAACCTCTGGGGGCCCTCTTGGGCCTCTCGCGGTGCCATCTTAGGCTTCAAACACCCATCGAGAACGAAAAAGCGTGAAGGTATACAGCACCGATTTCTTTGGTTTGAGGGCCAATTGGTTTCTTGGAGGGCCTCGGAGGACTCCACGGGCACTTGTAACCGTCTTGGGGCCGTCTTGAAGCCTCTTGAAGGTATGTTGGAGGCTATCTCAGGTCAGCTTGATGAGGTGCATATCTGACCCATCTGAGAAGCCAACTTGCTTGTTCTGAGGCCCTCTCTGAAGCCGCCCCTGCGGGGTGAATCCCTCCTCCAAGCAGGGGAAACACGGGTCGAAGGGGAAGGGATTAGATAAAGTTCGTCAACCCGCATCCGCCCAGAGGGCATGTAGGATTTTCCGATGATCTCCAGAAGCTCGCCAAAGTGTTTGGGGTGAACCCTGCGCAGTTCAGCGACCAATTCCAGACCCATCGTGTCATTGCAACTGGTTATTTCAACAAGGGACGTCGGGGCGGCGGCAGCCACGATGCGTGGAAGTGGGCAGTGGAGGCAAGAAGAAGAAAAAACTGCAAGTATGTCAACTTCGGAAGTCCACGTGGATGTTTTCTGGGTTGGGTCGGCACCGGGGTCCAACGCCAACAACGACCCAAGAAATCAACATGGACCTCCGAAGTTAACGTTTATGTTGTTTTCTCTTCCTCGGCAATCGCACGCAGAAACGGGCGGACAGCAGGCGCGCGCACCCGGCCGACCAACTCCCCCCTGTCCTTGCTGCTTACTCTGCCTCGCGTGGATCAGCTACAAGTGGCGCGGGGGGAAATTTCAGCAAACATATGCTCCAAGGCAGAGGAAGGGCTACCCGCGAGGGGGAGGTTTCAGAGGTCAACGAGCTGAAACTGACAACTGACGTTTTCGAGAGCGAGCGCCCTGAAATTGCAAGGCGCGCTCGGCTTATTTTGGATCAATTCTATGGTGTGCCCCGACTATCTGGCTCAGACAACCGAGGGCACCGCGTTGGGGAAGGTGCTCCAAGTTCACGTGCGCCGAAGGAGCCACTTTACTTACACCTCCTCCTCCCCCTCTTCCTCCCCCTCGCCCTCCTCATCCTCCTCCTCCTTCCTCTTGCCCGCCCCCAGGTGGCACGGGGTAGAGAGGGGTGGCCCCGTTGCAAGCCCACCTCCATCCACCTGCCTGGCCTCCTCCTGCCGCCCCCCCCACCCCGCCCCCCCCTCTACCCTACCTTTTGTTCGCGTTCTTCCTCTCCCCCGTCCTTTCGTATCTGTAGTGGGCTTCAGACGCTCAAAGGCGCTGTGCTCAAAGAGGTCCTCCAGGAGGAAAGCCCGAAGAAGCCCAAATCATTGATGATGTCCTCTAAGGTTTTACACACAAGCGATTTTAGCATTTGCGCCTCTGTGGCTTTGCGAAGGCCCGGGACAACCCAAGTGCCCCCCACGGTTGCCCCAATATCGCCCGAGAGGCCTCCAAGATGGATGACGGCCTAAGAGGCTGTGCAGTCCACCCTCCTGTCCGTAGCCATTTCGGCTCACACCATGTGGAACGCGCGTGGCGCGCAACACACCGCCCTAATCAGGACCGATGGCACGGCCGTGGCCTTTGGCGGCAATTTCTTCGGCAACTGCGAAATCCCAGCGTTGGGCGCAGGCTTGACTTACACGCGAGCCGCAGCTGGTGGAGGTCACACTGTGCTGCTCAAGAGCGATGGCACGGCCGTGGCCACGGGCGCCAATATGGGCGGGCAATGTGACATCCCACCGTTGGCTAGGGGCTTGGTTTACACGCAGGTCGCCGCTGGGCGCCACATGGCGTTGCTGCTGAGAAGCGACGGGGTGGCCATGGGCATGGGCATGGGCAGCGATGTCGTGCCGCTGAGCTGGCCACCTGCTGACAACGACGACGCGGCGTGGGTGCCGCAGCTGGGCGAGGGCTTGGCGTACGTTCAGGTGGCCGTCGGCCTGACGCACGTCGTGCTGCTCAGAAGCGACGGGGTGGCCGTCGCCCGGGGCTACGAGGAATCGCCCAACGTTCACGACAACATTCGCGACGCGATGGCCGAGGATATCGAAACGTCGCTCGCGGCGCAGCTGCCCAATGCATCGATGACTTACAAACAAGTTGCAGCCGGGAACTACCACACAGTGTTGCTGAGGAGCGACGGCATGGCCGTGGCATGTGGTCACAACGAACACGGCCAATGCAACGTACCTACGCTGGACGAGGGCTTGACGTACACCAAAGTCGCCGCTGGGGGGCGCCACGCGGTGCTGCTCAGGAGCGACGGCGCTGCCGTCGCTTGTGGTTCGAATGCGCGTGGGCAATGCGATATCCCAGAGCTGCGTGGTGGCCAGACCTACTACTACGCACACGTGGCCGCTGGAGAATGCCACGCGGTGCAGGGGGGACAACGACGACGCACGACGACGGCGATGACGATGCTGATGCCGATGCTGACGTCCTACCCCCAGCTGCAAGTCCCCCAAGATGCGCGCTGATGTCGGTTTCGAAGCCAATCCGACCGTGGGCGCGCTCTGATTTCGATTTCGAAGCGAATCCACCGTTGGCGGCGGCAGTCCACCCGGGAAGCAGCTGAGGGTAGGACGTCAGCATCGGCATCCTTGATTGATTGAGGTGCTACTCACCACCAACGGCGCGCCCGTGGCTTGTCGGGAAAATTGGGACGGGCAGTGCGACGCCCCTGTGCTGGACGAAGGCTTGGCTTACGCACCCTCACTGGCAAGATTTATCCTCCTACAAGCGAGCATGGACGGCGACTCGATGCGCTTCACAACGTTCGGCGGAGAGGAACGTAGCCGGATTTGGGCAGGCCCCGCCGCTCGCCTCACGGACATCTACGCCCACCTTACGGCTGAACACCGTTTGGGCAGGCTGGGGCATGGGGCCGACAAGGTCGACGCGATCCTGCCCGGGGGGCGGCTGCTCAGCAGCGCTACGGCCGAAGAGACGGTCGCCATCGCTCGCTGCGCTGGGGATTTGAAAAAATACATTCGCTAAGGACCCAAACATATGCAGTCGTCAGAAACGCAGCTGTGAGAATCGTTTTCAAGGGAATTCCTTATGGGGCCACGAACCGTGTGGGGGGTGTGCCATGCGTATTATCATTAGTCCGGGCCTGGCTGGGCCTCCCTGGGCGAACCCCGTGGGGCTTCCCACAGGCTACACGTGGGCAATGATGGCCTCCTCTCTGGGCCCATGAGGGTCCTTCCCATTGGTTAAGGCCTGGGCCGTCTTCCTTTCAGGCTGTGCCCACGGGCTTCCCAAGAGCTCCTCCATGTGGACAGGGGCCTCTGTCCGTGGTCACATGCGGTTCGGAGTCTCTGAAGAAGAACTCATAGTTCCTATTGCTAAGTAGACGGGGCCTGTGCCTCTCAGCAGAGCCTCAACAACAAGGGCCCACGAGCTTCCTGAGGGTTCCACCTGGGCCAAAGCCTCTCTCTATGGACTTAAGAGTCCACCGTGCGAGGCCAACGCCGTCGTGGTCGTCGTGCTTGGCCTCGGGCGTGCGTGTGGCATACCATCGGGGGTGCGTAGCTCAGAGGAAGAATAAGACTGAATATTTAGAGTGCAACTCGCTGCATAAGGTCACGGGTGGACTGACCGACCCCTGCTGACAGACCGACCCCTCCTTCCGTGACGACCCCCCTCCTCCTCCTCCTTCTGCTGCTCCTCCTTCCTCCTCCTCCTCCTCCTCCTCCTCCCCTCCTTCCTCCTTCTGCTGCTGCTGCTCCTCCTCCTCCTTTCTTTCTCGACTGGCTGGTGGGGGCGCGCGAAGCGCGCATGCAATAAACCCAACACTTCTGCATTGATTGAGCGAGCTTGGCTTTTGGGTGGAGGGGCTGGGTGACGACGAACGGCCCTCCTCCTCCTCCTCCGACCTCCATTTCTTCTTCTCCATCCTCCTTTCTTTTTGAATATTCCATGCATGAGCTGCTGCTTCAGGAGGGTGCCAACAAGCACTGGCCGGCTACGCGGCGCTCTGACGTGAAGAGTCTTGTTCGCAAATCTACTATTTCAACAACCCGCGCGGCTGTCGCCGCGCGGGCTGACGTGGGCGCTGCGTGGACAGATGGCGCGGCTAAGGAGTTGGCATCATTACGAACGAAGCGCGACGATAGGAAAGCCATCGCACTCGAGGACGGCCACCTCCTGGCCAAAGAGAACAACGCTGCTGTGCGATCGCGTCTGGAAGACGTTCAAGCCAAACGCCTTTGCCGGGACAGGGGGCGCGCCAACGCAGAGCGCCGGCAGTCCGTGGTCAAGCGCAAGCGGGATAGTGACAACTCCATCAACATCAACGGGATGCACGTGTTTATTACTGGGGGCGGCTTGGCGTGTGACGCCAGGGCCATCAACAATGTGATAAGATCTCATTCCCTCAAGCGGGTGGCCGATAACGAGAGGCACGAGGCCCATCTCTACATAGTGCCGGACCCGGCGAAGCCGGGCCAGAGGACGTCCTGGGCCGTTGGTTTGACAGGTGGCCGAATTGCCACCGAGAAATTTATATTCTCGGGTGGGCGCGAGGGCGCCAGCGTCGTATACAAGCCAGCTCTTGACTCTAAGCGATTCCTGTGGCTGTCTCCAGAATTCATCAGACAACGCGCTGTATTGCACGGAATTATACGGGCATCTATGGCGCACCACAGCTCCAACAAATGGGTCCTCATCCTTCGGCGACAGACCTTCGTGGACAGGTGCGATGCTGCGTCTAAAGGCCACAAGGGCGAGTTCCTTGCCCTGGTGACCAAGAGGGAGATGAAGAAGGAGGATCGGGACAGGGTGCAACAAACAAGCAACACGCAACATCTCAAACCTCTTCTCGACACGAAATCTCATCTTTTCTTTCCGTTCCGTCCCCCTACCTTCAATCGTTCCCATCCCCCTCCCATCAATCCTCCTCCTCCTCCTCCTCCTCCTCCTCCTCCTGGTCCTCCTTGTCCTCCTGCTTCTCCTACCTCCTCCTCCCCCGCCGTCTTCCCTCCTGGTTCTTCTTTTCATCCATCCCACCTCCCCCCTCCATTCTTCATCCCCCCCACCCTGGGACCCCGCTGGGCTGGGGGGGGGGGGGGGCCCACCCCCCCCAGGAATTCAAGGACGCCAAGCACGTGCACACGTTTGGCTCGTTCCTGAGGGTTCTCACACAGAAAGTGGACGGCGGGCCCTCCTCAGTGGGCGCGTGTGGAGCCTGACGCAGCATGATGATGGGATACCCTGAGTGACGGCTGCCGGATTGAAGTGCCTGCTGCCAATAATACCGTTGCATTACCTTGGGGTCTTCAAAAATTGCAGGGGTAGCGTGGTTCGTGGAGATGATGAGAGCCCCTCCTCCTGTAATTGACGCCTCGCGTATCACCGCCAATGCTCGACCTCCGTCTCGCTGCGTGGGTCCGTAAACCAAAAAGTATCACCACCAACCAGCCCATCCAGAAACGACGCCCATGCGAGTTGAGGTGAGGAGGGAGGCGTTGTCGCAACAGCAAGGAGGAGGGTGACAGCCAAACCGTTCGAAGGAGGATGAGGGCCCGAGGAAGCCGAACCGTTCAAGGAGGAGGACAAGGAGGAGGCGCGCCAGCTTGCCGGCGCGCCTCCTAGCTGTCTCAGAGGGCCTCAGGCTTCAGGGAGGGGATATCATGAGGACTGTCCTCCTCGCATATCATCCTGCTACCCTCCTCCCCATCGCCCCTATGGCGAGACCAATGGGAAATCAACCCTCCCCCTCCTCCCCATCTCCCTTTTTAAGAAAAACTGGTGGACGCTTTGGCGAGGGCCAATAGCGAATCAGGAAGCATTTGAATTCACAGTTTTTGTTACCACCCCCCTCCTGTTCAGCCTTGCACCTGACGCCATCGCGATCAGGACGGTGGTTCAGGAGCGACAGTTGACTGGCTTGAGGATGTCGAACGGACCGAACGCACTGTTTGGCATGGGAACAAGTGCACAAATAGTTTCGCTCCTAACCACAGGGATGAGGCACAATTGCTTCTGCACTCTCTTGGGAAGAGTCTTGAGTACCTCGTCATGCCATCTCGGAACCATCTTGGAGCCATCTTGAGGCCTCGGAAATTTATCGAAAGCGGAAAGCGATACATCACAAATAATTGGTGTTCCGCTGGATTTTGATTGACTTTAACATATTTGGGGGGCTCCTTGGACGTCTTCTTGGAGGCCTCTCGGGGCCGTCTTGGCACGTTCTTGGGGCCACGTGGAGCATTTTGAGAACCATATTGGAGAAGATCGCCCTGGGTTCCCTGAGGATTGCATTGCATTGCCCAGCAACGTTGATAGCGGATGGGTCGGCACGCCGGTTTTACCGCACGTCGTTTGGAGGCTGAGGACTTCAACTTCCCAAAGGGGGGACCCCATTTTGTTAACATGACCCCCTGGAATTCCCGAGGCGCTGCCTCGCGCGAGCATCCCGAAGAACCACGAGAGGCATGGCAGACCCAAGCCAAACCCAACCGTGCCAGAGAGATCATTATCCCTCCAGGAGTTGTTTGCGTTGCGCTCTCAGGGCAGTTTTTGCGTCGTTGCGCCCTCAGGGTTCTTCTTCTTCTTCTTCTTATTCTTCTGAGTCGCCCCCAAACAATCATTTCTACTCGAGAGGTTGGCCCCTGGCCGCTCAGTTCGCCGCGCCCCGCCCACCAGAGGGCGACGACGAGGGGGGGGGGGGCGGTGATGACGGCGGGGAGGAAACAGAACAGGAGAAGATGCAGGCGGAGGAGGTGGATGAGGTGGAGGAGGAAGAGGATGATGGTGATGGGGGGCCGCCCGTCAGCTCGCAAATGCACAATCAATCCCACGACGGCGCATGGGTGGGCAGCTGTTTCACGCGAGTCTGCCGTGCCTGGGGAGCCAAGCCTTTGGCGATGGCATCTTCTTCTGAAGATGCCACCGCCATAGGCTTCGACGCCCTGGGCGTGGCTGAGAGGCAACAGAAACACATGCCCGCCCTTGTGCATGCCGTTCTGAGCTTGACCGATAATAATGATCAGCAAGGCCGGCGGTCGAGCAGCCAGCGACCGACGACGGGAAGGGACTCACCGCTGCTGCTCTGCTTGTTGCTGCTGCTGCTGATCACTCCCCCCCCCAGCAGCAGCTGTCGTCGTCATCGTCTTCCTCCACCTCCTCCTCCTCCTCCCTCCTCCTCCTCCTCCTCCTCCTCCCTCCTCCTCCTCCTTCTCCTCTCCCCCCTCCTTCGTCCCTCTTCTCTCCTCCCCTCCTCCTTCCTCCCTCTCCCTCCTCCCCTCCTCCTCCTCCTCCTTCCTCCTCCTCCTCCTCCTCCTCCTCCTCCTCCTCCTCCCTCCTCCTCCTCCTTCCCTCCTCCTCTCTCGCCGTCCTCTGCTGCGCTCGGCGGCGCCCCTGAGTGCAGAGCGAGGGGGTCCTCGGGGACGCCCCTGAGTGCAGAGCGAGGGGGTCCTCGGGGACGCCCCTGAGTGCAGAGCGAGGGGGTCCTCGGGGACGCCCCTGAGTGCAGAGCGGGGTGGGGCGGCCGCCCCGGCGCTCTCTGCACTCGGGGGCGCCCCTGAGTGCAGGGCGGGGTGGGGGCGGCAAGGTTTCAGAGTGCAGAGCGGGGTGGCGGCCGCCCCGGCGCTCTCTGCGCTCTGAAAATTGCGCGCCCCCGGCGCTCTCCTTCGGGCGCCCCTGAGTGCAGAGCGGAGGGGGGCGGCCGCCCCGGCGCTCTCTGCACTCGGGGGCGCCCCTGACTGCAGAGCGGGGGAGGCAGCAGGTCGTCGGGTCGGTCAGGTCAGGCTACTACTACTACTACTACTACTACTACTACTACTACTACTACTACTACTACTACTACTACTACTACTACTACTACTAACTACTACTACTACTACTACTACTACTACTACTACTACTACTACTACTACTACTACTACTACTACGTACTACTACTACTACTACTACTACTGACTACTACTACTACTACTACTACTACTACTACTACTTACTACTACTACTACTACTACAACTACTACTACAACTAC